TGCTCCCCTGCTAGAACCTCAAAACAAGCTCCCACAAACCTTCTGCAACTTTTATGTACCTTTCAGGTTTTTTCCTCTCCTTTCATCTCTTATTTTTCTTAAAGATTTAATTTATTTATTTTTAGAGAGATGGGCAGGGAGGGAGAAAGAGAGGAAGAGAAACATCAATGTGTGACAGATACATCTACTGGTTTCCTGTCTCATGGCCCCTACTGGGGATCTGGCTCGCAAACCAGGCACATGCCCTGACCAGGAATCGAACCCGTGACATTTGGTCCGCAGGCCAGTGCTCAATCCACTGAACCACACCAGCCAGGGTTCCTCTCTTATTTTAAAAGAGTAATTTTATTTTAGGACAAAATTATTATTTTTTCTTCCTTATCCCCCTAAAACTCATGTTTTTAAATGTGCTTTCTTATTCAAAAATCACATTTTATTTTCCTTTCTTTCAATAAAAGTGCATCTCCATGCTTCATACCATCTTCTGTTGAAAACAGAACATCCAATTTTTTTCATTTAAAGTCATTTTGTTTCATCCTATTGTCTATTAGTTTTGTAAAAAACATTACTTCTTTTGTAAGTCAATTTTGGCAAGGTATGGGTTCCTTGCCAAAGAAACAGCCCGCATTTGAAAAAGTCCTCCTTTTTCTCCTCCAGCCTCTGTGGGCATTGTCTTGGTTAGCTCCTGGGTGTTTACGTTTCGAAGACATGATAAGATTTACAACTTTAAGAGACAGAGAACTACTGCAAGTTTTTTAGCATTATACTGGGGTATGTCAGAATTTTAGGAATTTTATGTAATAAAAGGTTTAGCACCATTTATTTGGCAATGTTTCCCATGTAATCTAACATACCACTAAGTCTAATTATGTTAACATTTGGTCAAATAGAGTCTTAGGTCATTGTGGAACAATATTTACGTTATTCGCTTAATCGTGGTGAGGACTAAAGACTTTTCAGGAAAACACAGAAAGTTAAATGGTTGTGAGTAAAATTTAGCTTTTTTAACAATGAGAAGACTCGGTTACCTGAAGCATTATAGACTGAGGAGAAAGGACACAAAGAATTTTCTTAAGAATGCATAAAATTCGTGCTTTCCCTTTATCCTTTTTTATTAAGAGGACCTGGTTCCCATACCTGGTTCCAGGGAACTCTGGTCCATGGAAATGAGACCACTTTAGATCCTGCTGGAGATGCCAGATAAGTTAACCTAAAAATAAAAGGCCTTCAACGTCAGAGGCAACAAGCATTTACATGAGATTTTTAAAAAATACAGAAGAAAAAATAGTTCTTCAGGAAGCAGTGATTCAGGCAGAAGCCCATATAGTGTTCTAATTAGGACACAAAGGCAATGGGTAATTATGAGAAATCGAAGGGGAACAATTGCATCAATACAAGAAAAATATTTTTTTTTCTGTTGGTGCAGGTAAGCTAACATGGTGCTGGTTCTCAACGATTTTTAAAAAATTTTCAGCCCAGCAGCCATCAGTCCAGTAGTCCCTATCAGCCTTCTTGTTATCACTGCAAACAGCTCTTTGGGGCATACTGTTGCTTTAGGCCCAGTCCAATGGTTATTTGACCCTGTTTTAACATTTCAGAGGTTTGTGGCATAAGACATGTGAGGCAATTCCTCTGGGAGGGCGGCTCCAGCTCCTCTTTAAAGTGTCTCTGTTTATATTACTTTTTACACTAGGAAGTTCATGTGAGGCCCGTATACATTAAACTTAAATCTAAATTCATGGAGCGGGTGAGAAGTTGCAGATATGCTCCCCATCGCAGACCTGAATTCCCCTCTTCACAATGCATATGCTCTCTGCCCTGGTGATCGGGAGGCAGGGCTGCAGCGGTCTCCCCCTGAGATAGCCCTGGGCATGTAGCTAGGGGGTGCCTTCTATAAGACCTGGTCAGGGTTGCCAGGGGCATGGGGTACCTGGGGTCTTGCTGGTGGGCCGCTTTTCTGGGGCTGTAGGGAACATGGGGCGTTGTGACGCAGAGGTGCTGGAGTCTGCTTAGGGGCCCGGCTGCTGGGGTCACAGGGGTCACAGGGGTCACAAGGGTCACAGGACGAGGTAGTCGGGCTATGCGGCTCCACGGTGCTTACTGGGGGCCGGGTGAGAGGGGCTGCTGCAGATGCTCCCTGAGTTAGCTCTGGGGGCCCATGGGGGCCTGGCAGGCTGGGGCTGTGGCTAATGCTGACTGCGGCTGCAGTGGGTGCTGGCTGAGTTGGCTGGATTGCAGGGAGCCTGGGGTGCCCTGGCAGGCCAGCGGGCCTGGGCTGTAACAGTCACGGAGCAAGGTGGCCTAGGATGAAGGTCTCGGGGGCGCCAAGAGAGGCAGTCTCCCTGAGGCTGCCGCTAATGCAGGGCAACGTAGTCCTGGGTGCAGTGCGGAGGCCTTGCAGGGTGGCTGGAGCGCCATCTAGCGGGAGGAGGAATGTCAACAACGGCCTTTGCCAGCTCCTCAGATCCAAGGGAGTTCCTGCAAGTTCCCCGCACATTTCTTTGACAGGCAAGTGCCTTGGGGTTAGTAAGTGGATTTCCTTCGTGTATAGCAGGGGTGTGAAACTCTTTCACCGAGGGCCACATCAGCCTCGCAGTTGCCTTCGAAGGGCTGAATATAATTTTAGGACTGTATACATGTAACTTCTCCTAAACAGTTAAGTGAGAGCTCAGCGCTGCTGCCGGGTAGAAAAAAGGTGCTGGGCAGATAAAACCAGGTGAAGGGCTGGATTGACCCATGGGCCTTGTGTTTGCCACCTGTGGTGTATAGTCTAGCTGCTCTTCAAATCTCTGTATTATCACTGTGCCTTGTGGCAGGCTACTCTGCTCTCGCCAGCCACTCAAGTGATATCTCTCTCCACCTCAAGTCTCCCCTTTGGGGGTGAGGTTCCCGTGGTCACCCCACCTCAGTTTCTCCTGCAACAACTCTGTGTGGTCCCTTTCTCATTTGCTGTTTAGAAGGAATTGCTCTACACGTAGGTGTATAGTCCCTGCGTCCTACTCTGCCATCTAGGAGCTGACTCTAAGATAAAATTTTTAATTCAAGTATCAAGCGGTGACTCCTTTAACCTGGAGCCAAGCCCGCCATCGCCTGGGTCACCTGTTTTTCCTCTCTCAGCAGAGCACTCCCTCCAGCATGCAGTCATTGTCAGTTTTGTGTCACTCTCCACCAGATGCTGGGCTCCTTGAGAGCAGGGACCATCTTCTTCACCACGATGCAACTCCTATGCCTGGCAGAGTGTCTGGCACAAGTCGGCACTCAAATATGTGCTGAATGAGTAATTTTACTGCTTCTGCTCAGACTGATTGACGATATTTGGTCATACCAAATGACGGAATATGCACTCTCCTAATCTCTTATGCTAGTCTATAACGAGCTGTACAATGCATCAACTTTAACACAAGAAAAGTACTTTGATTTTGCTATTGATAATCCCGTTTTTTAATTTGTAAAATGAGGTTTTAAAGACTCCTGTTGGCTTCAAATTTATTAACCACTCACTCCCCGCCCAAACCCAGCCCCTGCCTCCTTCCCACCAACCCCACCGTATGTTCAAAGGAAAACCAGGATAGGGAAGTCAGAGCCTCTCTGTCTGACCAGAAAGGGCCAGAGCTGGGCTAAACCTCGCTTGTGCAGCCTTCCGGGAATCCTCCACAGCCCCCCTGGATGGACTCAGCCAGGAAGCCCAGATGGAAACTATGGACTAGATGTTTCTTTTTAGCTCCGGAGGCACGCCCAACAATAATTGTACCTGCTTCCATGCCCATTTTTTCTTCAGCTTTTTTCCTAGCTTTACTGAGATATAATTGACATACATTTTGTAAATTTAAGATGCATGATATGGTGATTTGATATATGCATTTATCATGTCATGTTTACTAAGATAATTAATACATCCTACCCTTGACATAATTACCATTTTGTTGCTGTTGTGTTGAGAGCACTGAAGCTGTACTCTTTTTTTCTTGCTCTTCAAATCTTCATTTATTTTTTATTGGTGTTCAGTTATAGTTGTCCCACCTTTTTCCCCATTGCTTTCCTCTGCCCCGTCCCCCCCACTCCCACTGTCAATCCCCCCCCCCAGTGTCTGTGCCCATGAGTCCTCTATTTGTGCTCTTATAGTAACTTTCAAGTATACTAAAGAGTATCTTTACCTAAGTCAGCATGCTGTAGATTAGGTCCCCAGAACTTATTCATCTCCTAACTGAAAGTTTGTACCTTTGGACCAAGATCTACCCATTTCCCCCACCCTCTACCCCTCATGTCCACTTTCTTATAGATACCTAAGTGATTTTAGATCAAATCCACTGAAAGAAACTATTTCCAGAGGAGGCCAATTCTATGGGGGTAGGGGGAGGGGGGAGGATGAAAAAGGGAGTGATGGGGACACTTCTTCCCTCTCCGTGTATTCTCATCCTTTACAATATCTGGAGAAGTTCAATCCCTAAGCCCAGATTTAGTCTTCAGTATGATGTTTGCTGGAACTGGTTCTGATAAAAGGACTCAGCAGCATTTTGTACTGGCAGGCTTTAAAAAAATCAGACAACAGTGATAACAGATAACAGCAAGGTGAAATGATTTATTGAGAAAATGACCACTCAGGTGAGAAATACCACACAATATGAGATGATTTTCAATATCAGATCATCTTTGTTTTGGCATAACACACAAATATTTAAAATGCTACACCTCATTCACCTGGGGATGTAGAATCATAGCTGTGATCTTGGTCAGACAATTTAAAAGAATGGAATCAGAGGCGTGTGTGCCTGTGTGTGTGTGGACACCACTAAGGCAGATGGTAAGAAGGAGGAGTTTAGAAATATACAGATCTTGTCATTTACCCTCAAACCTTGAGAAAGGAGCATGTATTTTTCTCAGGGTACAAACCTACCAGACAATATGCATGTTTGGGCGGTATGACGCCGAAGAGCACCATCTCCTGGAGGGGACATCACAGGCCGTCCAGACCTGGGAGTCCCTGGGAGGCAGCCAGGCTGTTAATGGGCCTGAGCAGCAGAGGAGGCTTTTGCAACTGCGGCTTTCCCCTCGGAGGCGCTGGTCTTCTGGGCGACACAAGCGGGTTTCCCAGCAGGGCCCTTCCCGATCTCACCCTTTCCTCCTTTGGGTGTCTGGCCTTGTTCGTCAGGCGGCTGCTGCTGGCGATAGCAATCACAGGGGTAGTTGGGGCAGTGCCATCCACAGCGTGGTGGGGACCCCTGCTGCAGGCGGTGGGCAGCGCTCCAGCTCTCAATCTTTTCTGCCTCCAGCTCCTGGGCGACGTCGGGTGAGGGCTTCGGATCAGGGGCAGTGCCTCGGCCCCTAGGGCGGCTCAGACGGTAGCTGAACCCACGCCCCCGGCGCGGTGGTGCGCCCTCGAGCCCTGCGGATGGCGCTGACGCTGGCGCTGGCGCAGGCGCAGGCGCAGGCGAAGGCGCAGGCGCAGGCAGGTGCTTGGCCCGTGGGCCATTGGCGGGAGTGAAGGTGGCAAGGCTGCAGGTGGCGCCTGGGGCCTTGCGGAAGGGCGGGAAGCGCCGCTGTCGCTGGGTGTGGGGGCTGCTGGTCAGGCAGTACCTCTGGCCCTTGGCTGCGGCGAAGTCTCCTCTGCCGGCTTTGCCGTCGACGACGTCCTCTTGGGGGCCCCTGGCACCGGAGAGAGGCTGTGGCGCTCCAAGGTACCTGTTGAAGAAGCAGCAGCCCTTCGCCGGGGCGCCAGCTGGCCGGGTCACGTTGGCGGCCTCGGTGCCCCGCTCACCCTGCAGCACGTCGAACTCCACAGCCTCCCTGGTGCCCAAGCCACGCCGGTTCTTGCGAGGACCGCTCCGGGCGATGGCTGAGCAGTGAACGAACACGTCTTCCTGCGTGTCGTGCCTTCTGATGAAACCGTACCCGCACTTCACGTTGTACCACTTGACGGATCCGCTCACCCTCTGGGCGATGACTTTCTTGGGCGCCTTTCCCTGGGTTCCTGCTGCCGCCGTGGCTTTCAGGGTCCGGTGTCCACCTGCGTCGCTGGTGACTGTGGCCCGGGGACAGTCTCCACCTTCCAGGTGCAACAGGTCTCCCAGCCAGGCTTGGCGGGAGACTGAGACGGTCACCTTCCGGGAGACTGAGACGGTCACCTTCCGGCGTCTGGGCCCTGCAGCCTCACTCAGGAGGCCATCCTTTCTCTCCATTCTCAGAAGGAGTGAGGGCAATCTGCCTGCAGGGCTGGGGGCAGTTCCAGAGGCAGGGGACCCACTCTAGGACAGTCTCCGGTCAGAGGGACCAAGGACTCTGGGGCTGTGCTCTGAGACTCATGCGGGTGGCCTGGGCGTGTCCTGGAAAACAGGGCGTGGCTTCAGGGTGACATCACAGCGGGGCGTCCGAGAGGCGGCTCCAGCGAGGGGGCGGGGCCTAAGCTCTGCCTCGTGCGCGTGTGGCCACTTCCCGAGCCTCTGGGTCCCTCTTGGCCAAGGGGCACGCAGGAAGCTCTAGGAACGGTCTTCCTGAAGACGCGCCTGCTTGTTTGAGTGCGTGCAAAGAGAGGACGCACTTTCCGTCCCCTTCTGTTGCTTGGGGAGATCCACAGCCTTCTGAGGACACTGTCTAGTTGCTCTCTGGCGAAACCGTGGTCCTCCTCCAGTGCCTTGCGGGCCCTCTCTGGGAGGGAGGCATTTTGTGTGATTCAGGCAACGTGGCAACCAATATGAAATGAAGACCCAATCAAAGGAGCCTGCTGCCTTTGGGGTCTTCCGTTTTTCTTGTGTGTTTCGTCTTCCTGCACAGGGACACAGGAAGCCCGCCAGGGCTAGAAGGTTAGTACCGAGAGGACGTTACACTGGTACAGGTTCATCTAGACTAGTGTGAGGTTTGTAAACCAGAGAGCCTGAGTGGGAACCCGTTTGTGGCTCCAGTATTGTGAAAACCCTGTGGAAGTAACTGTTCTAGTCACCTACATAAAGCAAGTAGAGCTCGGGCAATTCTTCCTTGTGTTTCACTGTAGATGCAAACCTTCTTTATTTTTCAAATAGCTCTTTGATCTTCACCCTAAATGGAGCTTCAGATTTAATTATATAGAAACGTGAAGAATTCGGCTTCACTTCAGTGTGTTCTATATGGGAACTTGGTGATGCTGTGACGGAGCCCTGACCCTGCCTGAGTTCTTGTCTACGTGTCATCCCATTGCAGCAAGCAGGCTTCCCTAAGCGCGGGTGGGAGTGGGCTGCATTTCATTCTTGCTCTGACTCAGTGCCAGCACAGCATACCTGCTAAGGTGCAGCTAGCTTTCTGAAATCAGCCTTTCCGCAGGGATGGCAGAGCACACTCAAAGAGTACATTGTAAGTCATCAGAACACTCAGTTTTCACTTATTAATGAGAAAAATGAGCCACGTTGTCCCGGCAGTTTTGAGTTTACAGAAACCCCTCACATCTGGTGCATTTGATCCCTGCAACAACCCACTCTATAAGGAAGTGGGACAGCTACTGTTTTTACTTCACTTTGACAGATGAGAAACCAGGGCCCAGAGAAAGGAGGTTGCTTGCTTATGTTCAAATATTTAGTATGAGGTGAACCCTTAAACTTACCTCAGATAAAGTTCACTCCAGCTCCAGGTTTCTTTCCACCATGCTTCACTGATCTGCACATACAGTTCCGTAACCTGTGTCATCTGACGTCAGAGACTAGCAACCGCCTTCAGAGAGGTCATGGTCTATACAACCCGGCAGAGAACCCAAGAAACACCGTTCGTGTGGCTCATCTGTCTCCCCTGTGTCCTGACTCCCAGGCATGGCACTCTCCAGGGGCAAAAATTGCCTTCCTATCAGTTAATGAGCACCCCCTATTTCCCCCCAGCCCTTCGCCACACACAATAACCTTTTGCCTGAAGGCCAAAAGAAAGCAAACCCTTCTTACTGTACACTCAGGAACCATTTCTTCACTGTGCTGGTATAATACAAAATGGGAAAAGGGTTCTTGGTTTTTATTTTACTCTTTAAAAAAAACCACTTCTGTAGGCATCATCTCTCACTGTTTTTACAACAAGCGTGAGAGGGTGGCACACTACTGTCCATATCCTCACATCACAGAGAGTAAGGCAGGGGAGCTGGGCAGGGAGCAGCCAACTGACCTACCCGAGGCCACCCATGAACTGAGTGCAGAGCCGAGATAATACCGCTGGACCTTCCAGCCAGTCCCCAGACCCCTAGTCCACCGTGCTCTCCGTGGCCCCATGAGGCCACTCCCTGATGCAGTCAACAGATCGTTCTTTCATGTCCTGATAGCTCTCCTTGCTGCTTCCCACATTGACCGTGCCCATTCCCATCTCAGTGTCTGTGTTCACTTTTCCCTCATTCTCCTAGGAATACTTTCTCCTCTCTCCTGGCTATGTAAATCTTACCTTTCTAGTCCCGGTTTGGCAATTCCCTCCCACCCCCCCATTCCAAATGCACAAGTCCACCTCGATGTCTTCCTTCTCAGAAACTTAGTTGCACTTACAGCCTGATGATCAATGACGACCCTACTTCTTCCCTATGTGTAAGGTTTTCTGTCTCGCGATTATTCCCAGCTGGATTCTAAGGCCACTGATGAGTGAATGTTTATCCCTTCTCTCAGTTTCCTCTCCGAGTATCATTCTGCCTGGAACAGTGCTGGCTGTATGAAGGGCCACCACACATGCACACTTGTGGATTAAATCTATGCCTCCTTTTCCCCCTCAAAGTGGCCGCATCCTTGAATTCCATACAGTTGCAGGCACTGTGCCAGGTGTGGAGATGCTAAGGAGATTCACTGAGCTGGGTTCAATATGTCCTTTTGAGTCGCCTGTTGTTGTTTTCATGATGCACAGGAAAGTGCTTTGGAGCCATCGTGGAGATCCATGAAACTTCTCAGTTTGGGTGTATTTTATGCAAAAAGAAATGCTTTGTGGGGAAAAAACATGATATGAATTACTAGTTCAAGCTTAAGGTTTAATTTGCTGAGCCCTTTGTATTATTTTTATTGAAACCATCAAGTTCTGCTTATCTCTTTTTCTCTACTTTGCACTTGATACATCCTGTGAAGCACAGTATTTCATTCCTACTATTTAAAAGCTGGATGTTAATTCACGTTTAAAGTATATTGTCTGATCCATGGGTTTATCACTTAAAATTTCTGCTGCTGCAGCAACAAAATGGGGCTGAACCCAAGACAGCAGAGTCCATCCAGGCCCATGACGAGAGGTAATAACATTAAGCTGGGGAGTAAAGAAGTTGGCAGTCTCACGAGAGGACAAAAATGCGTCAGGGCCTCTTTTCTTACCAGTTCACTGGCGGTTCCTGTTTGAAAGGTCAGTGGACTAAACACAAAGCAGAACCTCATCCATCTTGTTCCTTCTATAATCACCCCATTAACACCAGCCTCTCTTGACTGCTGCTTACTGTCCAATGCAACAGAAAGCTAACAATACAGACAAAAAATAGAGGGAGATGTAGGAAATGGAACTGAGAATGCCTACCCTTGCAATGCCCCACATCATGCAAATGGCACACAGTAAAAGCCAGAGTGACTTGTCAATAAGTGATTTAAAATGTGGGCAGTGTTGCCATCATCAGTGCACCCTCTGCTAAGGTTTTCAGAGCTAAAAATCATTTGGAAGAGCTAGGAATCTTAAGTCAGAAGGTCTGGGTTTGACTCCTGGAATGGCCTAATGTTGTCTGTTTAGCCTTGAGCAAATCACATCGCCTTTCTGAGATGTAGACTTGTCACATGTAAAAAGAAAATATAGATGCCCTATCTAGTTCACAAAGGTGTGGTGGCAATTATGTAGAATACTCCATGTGAACAAAGTAAGTTATGTAAACCATAGGCCATGAACATCTTGCCATACAACACTATCTGTGTTAAAAAAGAGATGAAGAGGGAATAAAAAAAGAAAAGACTGAAAGAAAGAAATAGTGATGGTTAATTTTATGTGTCAATTTGGCTGGGCCATGGTGCCCAGGTATGTAGTCAAACATTATTATGGACCATTCTGTGTGGGTGCTTTTGGGTGAGAATAAATTTTCAATCCATAGACCTTACATGAATTGCCATCTAGAATGAGGGTGGGCCTTATCCAATCAAGTGAAGGTGAGAACAGAACCAAAAATTGACCTCCTCTGAGCATGAGGGAATTCTGCAGCAGATGGCCCTTGGACTTGATCTGCAATGTGGGCTCCTCTCTCTGTCTCCAGCTTGACAGCCTTTGGATATAAATTGCAGTCTCGGCTCTCCATTCAGTAGCTAGTCTGTGAGCGTATCCTATAGATTTTGGACTTGCCAGTCTCCATAATTGTATAAGCCTATTCCTTGAAATAAATCTGCCCCCCTCCAGGCCAAACAATTAATAAGGGTTACTACTCCAATGTTCTTCATCGGTTGAGAGACACAACATGACGAAAACAACCACAGCTATGGGCAACTGGTGATTGGCAGCTTCATCAGGACAATGCACCCGCTCAGGGATCACATCTCATGCAGAGTTTTTTGGTGAAACATCAGATCATCCAGGTGACTCAGCCCCCTCCAGTGAAAACTTCTCGCTTTTCCCAAAACTAATATCACTTTTGAGAGGGAAGAGATTTCAAATAATTGATGAGATTCAGGGAAATATGACGGGGCAGCTGATGATGACTGGGAGAACTGTGTGAGGTCCCAAGGTGCCTACTTTGAAGGGGACAGAGGCATCATTGTCCTATGTATAGTGTTTCTTGTATCTTGAATCTTCTTCAGTAACTATGTCTATTTGTCATATTACATGGCCAGCTGCATACTTTCTTGACAGAACTGTATGGTGCTGTTTCTGCCATCGCTTGGGTTCATGGGCCCAGGACTCAAGGTGTGGAGATGGGTGTGGGACCACTCCCTATCACAACCCAGTGACACAGTAGCACAAAGTTGGCTTCCTATCCACACTACCTGATGGTCTGCTGGGCTAGAAGAGGTCTCAGTTCCAAAGGGAGGGATGCTTGCACCCAGATGCACAACAAGGATTCCATGGAATTGAAAGTGCAGACTGCCACCTGGCCACTTCGGACTTGTGATGCCTCTGAATCAACAGGCAAAGAAGGAAGTTATTGGGCTGCCTGAGGTTATTGATACTGACTGTCAAGGGCAAATGAGACGGCCTGTCCACAAGAGAGGTATGGTAGAATATGCCCGGAATGCAGGAGATCCCT